TATATATATATATATATATATATATATATATATATATATATGCGATAGATTATAATCCAAGGATCACGCAGTACGACGTGACATATTGCAACACCAACGGAAATTTTGGTTGTCAGTCGTTCCGAAACTCGCGTAATTCCGCGTGGGTACGGTGGTTGTACCCACGATGTATCGCTGATTCCTTTATTAACACTTCGAAACTCAATGGAACGGTAACACATCCAGGTATTAATGTACCTGCATACGACCACCGGACGCGCCGCTCTTTCGCTTGAAATTCCTGCGGAAACTGCTCGAATAATGAAAGTTGGTCCGCGCGCATTAATATGCTATGTAGGGTGATGCTATATAGGGATGCTTTTTCATGGATTACGAAACACTTCATAAGCCTGGAACCGCATTATTGATATATTGTGTGCGGATATATGCGTGTAAAATAGAAATTCAATTTTTCGAAGGGGAAAATTCATTCTTTTTCTTTACTCGGCTTTAACGTTTGAATTTCGCAAAAGTCATTTAACTTTTTCAAACGAGCTTGTTACTATACACTAATCCTTGTCGGTATTGTACTTTTTAATACGAAAACTTACATTTAAAAAAAGTTCTATTGAAAAAAAAGGAAACGAGATTATTTATTTTTATACGAGATATTTTATTTTTTACGAAGAAAGTGATAAATTTCACCCCTTTGAGAAATATGCCTCGCTTGGGAGATTTCTATACTTACGAAACACCCCGTTGGGAGCATCCCATTTTCGCAGTCCTTTGTTTCACGAACTAAGAAGAAACGCACTGATCATGCCGCAAGAAAACTTTAGGCTGTGACGCTTTCTGATCAATGTTACTTTTCCGTAACGTATGATAAAATATTTATAAACGAGAGTAGGCATTTTTTATCATTTTTTTTTCTGACCTATTTGTGTCCTATATTTAACGTTTATTATATTTATGTACCGGAGTTTAAATATTTATTGTTGATGTACCGAAGTATACCACAGATCGATTCTCATTTCATGTCGATGCTCAAAAACTTTTTTCTGCCACGTGGGAGTCGTCCCTCATCAACTATCGATGGCAATCTCGTTGAAACTTTCCACGCCAAAAAGATAGAATTGAAAGAAAGAAACTGGAATTCATTACATGGGATGCATTTTGTAAATTAAAATGTCATCAAGTTGCATTACGGGATACGTATAAATACGTACGGTGTAGGTCGGGGAGGTATGCATGTGCGTGCGCGTACATGTGTATATGGTGGAATATTCTAGATAGCTGGAATGAAATTGGATTCGCCGGGGCTAAACCCGGGGAACGAAGAGAAGGAAGGTTCGCTAAGATTCTTCGGCAGGGGCAAGGAAGAAAGATGGTTTCGTTCGAACGAATAATCAGGAGGAACCTCCGGTAATCATTTCGTGCCAATCGAGTAGTTTCCTCGTGCAATCTCGGTCCTGGTGCACCTACGTGGCTTCTCCCTTTAAATCCGCGCACGTGATGCATCCGACTAACGACCCTCTCGGGAAGCCAAAACGTGTCTTTCGAATTAAGCATCCGGAATCGGGTAGATCGGGAAGGAACCGCGTAGGAATTATTTCTCTGCAATAAACGAATCGACTCCGCGCGCAGCGGAGTTTATGAGAAAAGTTGTTTCGTTGGTGCGTAAAACGAGAAAATATTACGGGATTGAACGTGCTGGGGGGGAGAATTAAGGTGGAGACTTTAGTATGGATGTTTTCATATATATCTAAATAAAAGCGAAATTACTACGGCTACAAATTTTACTTACTACTTTTGTTTAGCAAGATAAATAACTATGAGATCGCTTAAACAACGTGGAATAAATGACGGAATACATTTTGTGTGATATCATCTATGTGGAAGATTTAGAAAGATATTATCCCACGCATTACGAAACGTCGGGAACTTGCGTACTCCTGCGCCAGTCATCAATCTCGTCTCGTCTCGTCTACATACGATCTCCCGTACAATTACAATCTCTTAATGAGACATTTATCTTTTGTGCGCGCTATCTTTTTCTTATATAAAATATAAGTAGCTCTTGTTAACTTTTCAATGAAACAACTTTGCTATTTTATTAATTTCTGTGACACAAACTTTATTCTCCCGTGCGCTCATTATCCGCCTCGTTCATTACGTCCGCGAATATTATGCGTTAAAAATTATCAACCCAACAACGCGATATTGAAGAAACAATTGTCTATTCTATTTTTCTTCCTAGCACGTAAACACATAACATCGCTGTTGTTCCATCTTTATACATTGTGCTCGCGTCAAGCATTCGTTTCGCCGAGCGTCGAGTTTCATTCCGAGCGAACTATCCCATCATTACACGTCAGCGAGTCAAAGAACGGAGGATCTCGATCGAGAGGACGGGGAAATAGAAAAGCGGGGAAGGTATTGCCAAAGTTCGACGAGCTTCCCCCGTCCACCCATTAGCGTGTCAGTCATTCCGGCCGTGTAATTAAATTCCGTGCGCCAATGTCGTCGCGCGGATCCCGCCCTTCGCGAATAAGTCTTTTTTGAAGCTGCCGCATCTATTCTTCCTCTCTCTCCCTCTCTCTCTCTCTCTCTCTCTCTCTCTCTCTCTCTCTCTCTCTCT